GACTGCCCAGGGGTTTAGCGTTTGGGGTTCTGGTCTTAGCGTCTAGTGTCTACAGACTCGAGATTCTGCTTCGGGCCTGGTTTTTGGGTCGCCCACAGAGATAGTTTTCTAAATTAGCGCCCCTTTTAGGTCCCCAATTTAGTACGGCACCCTTACACAAAGGACCCCAAAAAGGGACCCGAATTTAGAGGAACTACTCACGTACACGTTGCAAAGCACGCCATACGGGAGAGCCAGAGAAGCCTCGCCCCATGAAGTCTAGGTCGGCACTTTCTGCTTCAGTAATGTAGGGGCCTAAATAAATTACCTATGTTATCCTGGGGGTTCCTTGTTTTAGTTATAGTATAATGGGCCCCAAACCCCTATTCTAATTTCTAAGGCCCCTACATTATGACAAGTGATCCCGGTTCTTCATGTCGTAACTCTTGTTATTCATAGACTTAGGGAACGTGAGCGGTCTGAAAACTTCTTCTCTATGAGTCTTTATGGATTTTAGACTCCCAGCCGCAGGCATCCACTCCCTAGACACACACTTCGTAAGAATCCGGGACGCATGACTGGCACGGCCCTCTCAATGCCTACAGATCCTGGACCCCTAAACCTGTCAATCCGGAAACCCCGAAACCCCTAAACCCCCCCTTAAGCACACAATGTCATTGAGTATGTTATACTCTAAAATGATATAACATAGCACAATATATTCTTGCAATGTTATATTCTAAAATGATATAACATAGTACAATATATTCTTGCAAAATCTATCCCCCACCCTCACCACCACCGCCACCCCTCCAAGTTCCAGACAGCCCAGTGTTCTCCAGAGCAGGTCTTGCAAGGCGAAGCCGCCTTCCACACGGAACCTGAAGCGGTGCTTCCCGGTGCTTTGAGGGCTCTTGGGGCTTTAGTTCCAGGCCTTTCTGGCTTTTAGGCCGCTGAACACATGAATGAGGGCTTGTCGCAAGGCCTTAAAGCTTTTTTTGGACTTTGCAGAGCTTTTGGGGCTTAGGATTTGGAGTCACTTTCTCAGGCATCCCGTCTGGGGTTTAGGGGCGCAAAGACTTTCAGAGGGCTCGGGATTTCTATGGGGCTTAGGGTCCGTGGAGCGTCCATTTCCGGAGGTCTCAAAATCCCGATCCCTGCTGTGCGCGCCAGCGTGGTCCACTTCGAGCCTCTGCAAAAGCTTCTCGCCGGCGTAGACCGCTACCTGGCGTGGCTGATCTTGCAAACTTTGCCTACCCCACGACTGACATGCGAGTCCAGAGCCTCACCCAAGCTCACCAAGACCATCGGGATGCTAAGAAAGGGGCCTTAATACAATTAGAGTAGGGTTTGGGGGGTATGCTATACTATAATTATACCAAGGAACGCCAGGAACCCCGAAACCCTATTGTATCTATTGAGGCCCCTACATTACCTGCACCCTAAAGTCTGAAACATTTATCCTATCCGCTGCTTCGTTTCATCCAGGCAACCCTCGTCGTATGATGTTGGCGATATGCGAGTAACACTGTAAATATGGGGGCCGTTACAGGTCTTGGGTGTTCTTGTAGTTTGGTGATAACAAGTGACCCTTTGCAATAACTTCTATAAGTCTTTCGGCGTCTATATTATTATGACCAAGGTTTGCATTGGAACCAGCGCCCCTCTGTTCCGAGTTGTTAGTCCTAACCGGTAACCTGGGCCACATCCGAGTCGGGCACGCCACGTCTCACACGACATGATTCCATGCTGGCACTACTTCCTGTTACTGTCACCAGGCCCTGATCGCAGGATTTGGCAAAAGGCTCAAGGCATCAAACAACATAAAAGTCTGCAGAAACCCTCTTGCAGTAAGACCGTAATGAAACCCTTATAAACCCCGTAAAACCCCGGCAACAGCCGTAGAAAAGCCTGTGTAACCCGTATGAAGGGCAAGCATGTGGAAAACCCTTACAAAATACCCACGAAACCCGTGCGCTAAAGCAACTCGGAAAACCTGCTAAATAAGTTATAAAAACAAACCCAAAACCCTAAACCCCAAATCCATAGATCCAAAACCCCAAATCCCAAACCCAACCCCTCCACAAACCCTTAGACTAGCCCTTCTAGTAATCCTCCTAGACCCCCCTTTAAAAGGAACTTCAGGGTTTAGGGTTAGCCCAAAAACCCACAGACGAAGCCCAAAGACAGGGCCGGAGCGGCGAAATCCGAGGCGCAGGCCCGGAGCTGAAGGAGGCGAGGGGAAGAGTGTATGTAGCTTAGGGTTTAGGGCTTTAGGGTTTCAGGTTTAGGGGTAGGGGTATATACATATGTTTTACATATAGATAGATAGGTAGATAGATAAATAGATAGATAGGAAAGATAAGATAAGATTTCATAAAATCTAATAAAGATAAGATAAGGCAAGGAAAGATAAGATAAACCAGACAAGATAAGATAAGATAAGATAAGATAAGATAAGATAAGATAAGATAAGATAAGATAAGATGAGATGAGATGAGATGAGATGAGATTGAGATGAGATAAGATAAGATAAGATAAGATAAGATAAGATAAAAAAAGATAAGCTAAGCTAGAAAAGAAAGATAAGCTAGATAAGATAGATAAAATAGAGTAGATAGATGAGATAGATAAGATAGATAAATCGACAGATAGACTGCATAGACAAGTAGATAGATAGACAGATAGATAGATCCATCGATAGACAGGCAGATAAGTAGAAGAATAAATAAATAAATAGATGGGTAGGTAGGTAGATTGATAGGTAGATAGGTAGATAAGTAGGTCGGTAAGTATAGGTAGATAGGTAGATAGCTAAATAAGTAGACAGGTAAGTAGGTAGGTAGGTAGGTAGGTAGGTAGGTAGGTAGGTAGGTAGGCAGGTAGGCAGGCAGGCAGGCAGGCAGGCAGGTAGGTAGGTAGGTAGGTAGGTAGGTGAAAGGTAAATAGGTAGGCAGACAAACAGACGGACAGGTAGTTGTGGCTTATTGGCTATTCATGTTGCAAGTTCATGTCGTTGCGATCTGCTGAGCATATAGCATGCAGATGTCAATGCATGCAAGCATCGATGCAGACAGGTACGCAATCTAGGCATGCCTGGCTCGGCTTGTGCTCTGGTCATGGGGCTACTTTCGTGAGATGATACACGCGCCAGGTGTGACTGAAGCAAGAACAGATGGAAGGGCCATCAAGATCCTGACAAGCCGGCACACTGGGCCTCCCCATAGACTCGATGTTGTCTACACTACACACACACATTGCAACAAAAGCCTGAATGTCATCTTCGTGATGCAAACCTCCCCGTAATGCTAGTCTCTGCGCCTTCGTGATGCAAATCTTGCTGATAAGGTCTGGCCTGTTCTCTGCTTGCCAAAAAGTCTTGAGTTCCGTGGGCCTGAAGATCCATCACTGCCCTGCTTCTGGAATACTTTGCTCTCTAATTTGCATACTTTTGGTGGTAATTACGGTAACTTACGGCAAGATCAACATAAGCACCCGACATCTGCGCCACGACCTCTGAAGAACGGAATCGGAATGCTCAAGGCTACTGTGTGCAGCAACTGGCAAATCGTACTGCGCTGCTTCCGAGCGAATCTGAGTATATCTGAGTGCATGACGCTGAGGGCCCCTGCAAACCAGCAGTTCCCCAGGGCACCCTGGCTAAATTTTGAACTCTTACGTAGGATCTACAGACATACAGATGCGAAGCTCTGCCTGCGCAGAAAGCATGAAACCCGCAAAAGGGGCTGTCGGGCTGCTTGTCTACTACTCTAGTCTCTGGGCTGACTTCATAGCAGGTTTGCCAGTCACCGCTGCATGGCTGCATGACATCAATCGACCCGAGGCCAGGCAATTGGAAATTTCTCAGGCCATGCTTCACAGCCTCCAAACTCCAGCTCTCAAGCATTTTGGATCCGTGCAGGAGCCTGGCATACATCTTCAGGACGTGCCGCCTAGCAGGATGAAGGGGTGATACAGCACACAAATACTTTTCACTGCTTTTGTTCAGGGACCTGAAACCCAACCCATGTCGCCAGTGCGGGCTCGCTCAACCGCATCTCTTTTCAGCGGCTAGCTGCTGCGATGTGTCGCACACCCGCACAAAGGCTGCCTCTCCTGGCACATCACAGGGAGCAGTGTAGCGACCAGCTTCTACGGCCAGGCATTTGACACGCCTCGTTCCGGGACAATAATCAGACGTGCAAGTATGTCTTTTGACATATACCGGGACTGGAGCATGCATTCATGTTAGTGGCACAGACGATCTGCAAGCAGGAAGGAAAGACAAACAGAGCCACTCACCAAAGCCGAAAACTTCGAGCAAACTCAACAGCCACACTGCCACACTCCTGCATCTGTCATGATCTCTTGGGAGACCACGAAGATGCCAGCTTCTTCGCATTCAGCCGCACAAACCTGCAAAAGGGAGAAAGGGCAAGCAGGCAAGCTTGGACGTCGGACGATGCCAACAGCACTTGCTGTTACCGTGAAAGCTGTTGCGTTACTTGCGGAACTAAGTAATGCCAGCTCCCCTGAACAATTCCAGACTAACTTCTAAATTACAGCTGCCCTGCGATGCTTGAATACGTGCACTCCAAATGCTTCTTCCCTCCAAGCCTCCACAGTGCAAAGCTCGTTCATGTCGACGACCACCGCGAACACATGTTACTTTGTTATCCCCACTCACCAACATCACAAGCATCATCCAGGAACAAACACAGGCAGAAGGCAAGGACGAAGGCGACGACTATCGAGCCAGTATCCCGCTGCTTCTTCTACTACTACTACTACTACTGCTGCTACTGCTACTGCTACTGCTGCTACTACGCCTCCTACTCCTACTGCTACTAGTACTACAGTACTACTACAGTACTACT